CTCTAAAATCAATTCAAACCAGCTTACTGTACAATCCTAATAATTATTACAATAATAACAATCAAGATTTATCTTACCTATCACTCGACCTTATTGGGTTTGGTTATTTTTAAGAGGTGTGATATGAGGACTTTTTAGGAGGTCACTTAATCTAGTATTCCTTTCGTCTGAAACATAACTCAAACATAATGAACAATAGAATTATGACAAAATCAGGTGTATTAGTATTGATATATTGTTAACTAAATAGGTAAAATACAATTTAATTATATTTTTTTCTTTTTAAAATTATTATTTTAATGATGTGATATTTTATTTTAAATTATTAACATATATGACTAGATGCATGTTATTGCCTGCCATTAATTTCATAACTATTGATTAATTTGGATAAATTTTGGATAACATTTATAAAAGTAAAAAATTAAGTTAAAACAATAAATGAATTATTTATAAATAAAAAATAATTTATATTTTTTATTTTAAAAATTCATTTAACTTCTTTAAAACTTAGAAAATATAAATTATTTTTAATTTATAAGAAAATAATTATTTATTTTTTATAATTTTTTTCTTCTACATGTTTAAGACAAAAGAACTTTTGAAAAATAAAAATAAAATATATGAATATTTACAAGTCTTAATTATATTTTTGGTCATTATAAATATTAGGTATTTTGTGATAAGCTCTTATAAATTTTTTTTGTTAATATTTAGTCATTGAAAAGTTAAGAAGTTAAACTTTCTTATGTTAAGTGTTGAGCTTATCGACGTAAAGCCAGTTCAATACTACCATGGGACATATCATGTCATTTATTTATTTGTTATTATTTAAAATTAATATTTATAAATAAGTTTCTAAATATATTTTTTTTACTAGTATTGTCTTTATGTATTCGCTGGTGTTGTCTCTATTATTGGTTTAGTTCATTATTTTTTTTTCTAAATTTTGGATTATATTCAAAATTTAAATTTCAGAAATAACTTTTTAAAATTCACTTATAGATTTAAAATCCAAAAGTTTGTATGAAAAAAAAACTTTTAAAAACCTAATTTTAAATTTTTGTAAACTAAACTGTCATATATTTAAAACTTTGTGATATGAAGTTTTTTAGAACATTTGATCATTATACTAAAAATAAAAGAACAATATGATGAAGTAGGCATGACAACAAATATAAAGGGATGACAATAGGTAAAATACACAATGAATACTTATAAAATTTACCTTCAACGGGTAAGATATTTACCCATTAAATGGTATGTGTATGAAGATGGGAAAATATCTGCAAATTTTAATGGGGATGGGACGAGTATAAGTACCTAAGTACTCACCTTGCCCCATACCTCCATATACTAATGTGAAGGAGGCCTTAACCCAAAAGCCGGTAATGGGAGAAAATTATGGTTAATAATTAATACTTTGTATATTTGACTTTGTTACTCTATAGTCATTGATAATCATGTAAAAATATGAGTTGCTCTACAACTTGCCCTATCGAAAGTTGTGCTTTAAGAGTGTGACTTATAAAAAAAGATCTAACTATCACTTCTTATAGAATTCAGAGATTGAGTACGACAATTTTCATACAAATGTAAGTCTTCAACAAGCAAGCTTGAAACTCTATTATAATTATTATTGATATTTCTAATTATCTTTGTTGTCTAATTTCATATAATCTTATTTAAATAATTTTTTACTTATAATAGAGCAACTAATAATTTAAGAAAATAAGAATTTAACCCACTTTTAGTTTTTAGAAATTTTTTGTGGATGTTTTTATAAAATTTTGGTTAAGATAAAGACTTCACTATTTATTTTATGTAATTTCACTATTTATTTTATGTAATTTCATGTTTTATATTTTTTTTTACTTAGTTCTTTTATAGGCCATAATTATTTTATTTTTAAAATGAACAAATTTTTTATTTTTTATTTTTGAGTAATATTATCTTTCAAGTTATAATTCTCTATTTTCAAAATTTTTTCTATGCAAAATAAAAGTTTGAGACATTTAATATAAATATTTATGTTACTTAAATAAAAGAATGCATATTTAAAGATATAAAAATCTATCTAATTAAATTATTTTATAAGATTAACATAAAAGTATATTTATCAATAAGTAAACCATAAAAATATTTTATTTTATTTTTATAGAAAAATTTATTTACTATTTTATATCGTTTAACTACTCTAATACAATTTAATTATTATGTTTGATATGAGATTGACTTTTTTTTTAATTAATTTATATATGACACATACAAAATATTTAAAAGATCTTGAAAATTATGTGTGAAATTTTACGTATGATTTTTAAGTATTTTAGTTTAGAAAGTTGATGTATTAAGATACACTTAACATTTGTAATCTTTGAATATTTATTTTCTATCTATGCTTAAACTTTGTTCGATAGTTACATATTAAACTTTTGTATTATTTTGCTACCTATATAAAATTATATAAGCATATGTTTTATAAGTATTTTTTTTCCAAACAAGCGAGGATAATATGGGCGAGTATGAGTATGCAGGTATTCAAAGGTATGAGTATGAGGATTAAAATTACTACCAGTATGAAGGTGGGTACAAATAATTTTTTAAAATACGAGTGTGAAAATGTGTACTATAGTACCCTACCCATTATCATTCTTATTTATAAAGCAAAGAGTTATTTTTGCTACAGTAATATTTATGCTTGTATATAATTAATGTTATTGATACATAATTTTTTCAGAATCGTGTGATTATAAAGAGAGTGAATGAAGTGTCTTGAAGAAGATTGTATATTATAGTAATGCATTCATTACCAAAGAGATGACCAAATGACTATTATTTATTATTATCGTCAAATTATTGATGTATAGACTTATAGACTTAACCTTATTTTAATTTTCAATTATTTTGTCTCAAGACAATCTATTGAACTAGGTTCGAAGAGTTGAAAAAGAAAATGAATTTGACATTGTCACCATGGATCATACACAAGAGGTCCTACATTAAAAGGTTAATATGCTTTAAGAATTAATTTTTAGAAGGATCATATTTCAATTTTTAAAATTAATTTCTAGAATTGTAATATGATTCTTCCTGAAAACTAAATTCTAAAAGCATTTAAATGACGTATTATTTATAATAAAGAAAAGTTACATATTCAAAAAGCAATAATAAAAAATAAAAATAAAGATATCAAGAAAGAAAAGAATAAAAACATAAATTTGCTTCGTAAATTACATACTTGTATCCTTTTGATAGTTAGTAATCGTTGAGATGAATCTATTAGGCATTTTTAAGGTGTCTGAGTAATAACATTTCACTCTATTTACTAAGCATTTTATAAAAATTTCCTTATCACCTTATATAAATTTTTAAAATTTTCATAAATACTTATGTTTATATTTATAATTTTTATTACTTTATATAAACTTTAAATTTCTTAAAAATACTTATATTTACCTTTATAACATTTATAATACTCGATATATTATTGGTAATATTTCAAGTAAAAATATCAGTAATTACATATAATTTCTTGAAAAGAAATTTCTCTTTTAAAAATTACAAAGTTCATCACGTTTATCCCTTTTTTTTTCTTTCAAAATTTATGTTGTTCTTGTTCCACCACACTTATTTATTGCACAATATAATTTCTTGTTCTAAAAAGTACTCTCTCTCACGACTTCTTTTAGATAATTATAACAAGTTTGTTTTTAAGATTAACATATTTTTACTCTTCTCCAACATAGGATCATATACATGTGTGTGTAAATTGCACTTTTATTGAGATATACATAAAAATTGATCTAATTTTATTAGTGAACTATATTTATTAGTTTTATAATAATGCACAATTTTTAAGTTTTATGTCTTATAATCTTTATCGTATATTTCGATATTTCATTTTTATAAAGCGTTATTCTCTTATTTTTAAATTATATTTAGATTTATTATAAAATAAAACATCTATATCTTACATGTACTTACTAAATTAATTTTTTTAAAAATACTTAAATATATTTTTAGTTCTTAATAATTTTTTTTTTGTTTTGAGTCTTTTAACTCATACTTTTTTTATGAATTATTATTTTTAATTCATTTAATATGGTCTAACTAAAAATTAACATATGACAATATTTTAATAAACTAAATTAATAATTAGAACTAAAATAAAAATTTATGAAAAAATAAAAAATAAAATAAAAATATTTCATTTAAAAGACAAAAGTAAAAAATTTGTAAGAACGTGAGAGCCAAAATCGTGTTTAACCCTTTTTAAAAACATCACCTTCTGTCCTTTGACAATGCAAGAATCAGTTGGAAAAACATACTGTACTATAGGACAAGTACCAAGATTGTCGCACGTGCGTTCACTCCTTTCTTAAGCAGAATTCGTATTCAAAACAAATTCAAAGTTAACAGGTTTAAATACACATTTTTATATATTTTTACAAATTTGTTTACTTTATTATTTTTAATTTTAGTTTATTTTAAAAAAAATATATTTTTAATCTTTAATAATGATATAACTAAAAGATAAATAATTAAATTAAACACTTATTTAACAATTTTTTTCATATAAATATGATGTCATAATTTTTCATAATTTATAAACACTTGTGTTTTTTAACACTCCATGAATATTTTTAAATTTAAATAATTCGGTAAATAAATAAATTTAAATATATTATATGGTATTTGTAAATATTATATTTATTAATAATGTATTTTATAAATAAAACTATGTATAAGAAAAAAAAATTAAATTAAGAGATAATTAAAAAATTCATGAATGATTCAAAATTTAAATTAACATTAAATTAAAAAATAAATATTTAAGATAAAATTTTTTTTGTGTCGTATTAATTTTTGTTGTTGTACCACGTTGATAACAGAGATAATATAAATTTTCAAAATAAATTATTAAAATTAATATATTTAATTTATAATATAATATATATACATCAATGTATCCTATTACTGCAAATACACAGCAATATAAGCTCCTCCCGATCATCCATAAATTAAATAATAATAATAGAGAAAAAAAAAAACTCGTGTTACAGAGTCGAAAAGAATGACCTATATGAGTGTGCTTTACACGGGTAACAAAGATACCAGGTGACCAGCACCCTATATACCAAATTAATCATGTGTATATATACCACGTGTCTTGTTCAATTTAGAAAAACTGTAGAAAAATAAAAAGGTATAGTTAGACTCTGTTCTTGGTTTGGTCACGATTGAGCAGAACTTTCCCATGGCAACAACCCTGTGGAAGGATGAGTGAAATTAGAGAGAAGGAAATCCTTAAGGCCAGTATCCCAAACCTCACAAAACTGCAAGCGCCAATCAGGTGGTTCAATGGCTTGCGTTCCCAGCCCTGGCACTCTGTCTTTCGATCCTATGTTCTGTTCCTCTTGCCAGTCCACAACATAGGTAGCAACCCTTCTGAAGAACTTGGCCTTGAAAGTTTCCCACACTTGGTACTTGTAATGGTTTATGACAGCAATGGTTTGAGGCATGTTACGGTGTCTATACCCCTCCCTCAGCAGAAAATGATGCACCACATTAAGAAGACTCTCGTGAAGCAAATCAGGTCGCACAATTGACTTGTGCCTCTCAGGGGTCCTCAGCCTGCAGGTATACCCTACGGTCACTCCTTGTTTGGGGTGAGTGCTCAATCCAGAAGGCCCAAAATTATGACACCCTGTCCTTATCTCGGCAATTGAGTTAGACGATGATATATTGGAAACAATTGTCCTCAGAGAATTTTGGTGCCCATTGGGGAAGTAGAAAAACTCATCAACATCGAAAAACCCCACCCACTTGCATTCCTCTCGGGCTCTCAATCCACAATGGGAAAACCCTGCTTCTTGGCTTTTAATCCAAGGCCACACCACTCTGTTAATACTGTAACCTTTAAGCTCAAGCTCTCCAACCACGTCATCGATTTCATCCTCGCTGTTGTTATCGTAGATGAACCACCGCTCCACTCCCAGCCACGCGTGGTACATAACCCACTCTCGTATCGCACGTGCCTGATTCCACACCATGGTGCACGCGCACAGTTCAAACTTGTTCCCTCTGTTTGTTTTTCTGTCGCTTCCAATTCTAGCCACCGAAGGTATGAGCTTCTCCCTCACGTGACCGCTCACGTGGCTCACGGTTACGCTTATTCCGCGTGCCTTGTCCGGGTTCGTTTGAATGCTCTGCGGCAACGAGCACCTCACTACTTCCTGAGCAACCGAAACGGCTCTCGTGGTTAGCCAATACGCACCGTTTCGGGGCCCGAAATGACATCGGAATCGGGTTGCGTCGGATACTACGTGGGGCCGAAGGTTTAATCCTTTAACGAAAACAACCGCGGTGTCACCGTCTAGGATGGCCTCGTACGCTAACTTATCCCAATTATGCGTCGTGTCTTTAACTGGAAACCGAATATCCCGGTGATCAGCCTCTCCACGCCAGCGCAATCCGACGATGGAGAAATTCGCTTCGGGAAGTGGGCACCTCGCAATTGACCGAAACTCATCGTACCGGTCCGTGGACAGAACCGGGTGAACGCTTTCATTAAAATCCGGATTCACCGAACCGGAACCATTGAAGAGGTTGTAGTAGAGGCAGTGGAGTTGATGATGGGGGAGAACAAGGTGTGGGTTGGAGAGCGTGAGAAGCACGTGATCGGGGAAGATAACATGGTCGAGGAGGGAAATTGATGTGGTGGTGGGGGAGGGAGGATAGAGAGTGGAGCGGGGAGCTGAGGAATAAAGGGTGGGAAAAGTGGAGGATTGAAGAGAGGGGTGAGAGGTAAAAGAGTTGTGATTGGAGGAGAAGAAGAGGAGGATGATGAAGAAAGAGAGGTAAAGGAAAAGTGGTCTTGGCGTCAGCATGTGTTTCTTCTTGCGCCGTTGCTCTGATGATGAGTCCATTATGCTAGAGGTTAAATAAGGATAATTAGTTCCGAGTCACAAAGTTTTAGAGAGAAAGGAAATAGAGTGAGACAAAGACAGAGATATGAAAATCGAGAGACCTTCTGAAGTGAGGTGAGAAGGCGGCGAATGGTTGAGCCGTCAAAGGAGAACGGAAATTAAGAAGTAGAATGAATGTCTTCTTAATCTTTGGGAGAGGTCATGTTCTAAACCTGAATGATGCTGGCAAGTTTTTTTTTTTTTTTGTCTATTTCATTTTACTGTCTGTGTAATTAGGAAAATTTTCAATGCTCCTTCAAAAGTTTAGTGTGATGGAGTTTTTCTTTTGGTAAAAAGATATTACTTGATTGATTTTTAGAAATAAAATATCTCCTCGATATTTTCACTTTTATGTTCATAATTATCTTATTTACAAAGGGAGAGAAAACTTATATTGATTTTTCTAAGAAGACGGATTAAAAACTTAAGTAATAAATGAGCAATAATTTGATCATTGATTTTGATGCATTGGACGGTGCTTGTAAGGTAAGCTTTGGTGTAGGTGCTTCTTGAGGATTACTCTGCATAGAGATTGGTCAATGAATAGTGGGATGTTTAAAATATAAATTTTGATATATCTTTCAACCAATCTTCTTAATAATTTATATTATTTTATAAAGTATTATTAAATTAAAAATTATATTTATTTATCATCTTATTTATTTAATAAATAAAAGAATCTACAATTTGTCTTTAAAAAATTGGGTTTCACATCCGTTTATGTTATCGAGAAATGGAATAACATTATAGGAACTTCCTGATATGGTAGCGTGAGAGGGAGAAGCTTGTTTTATAATATGAAATATTTGATATCTTAAAATTGGTAAGTAAAAGTTTCCCGTATCTTACAGAGATGCAAATTAGAATGCTGTGTGTCTGGCGAATCCTATCTGTCTCGGCCAAAATTGGTAGTCTATGAGTACGAGACGCCTACGGAGTTGTCATTTGTGGCTTTTATCTAGGAGTGATAACTTCGGTATCTTTAATTTTAGAAGGTGTCGACTACTTTTATTTTAAGCAACAAAAAATGATCATAGGTTAAATCAATCTGTTAATTCTTATAATTTCAAAATATTTAATTAATTCTTTATGATATATTTTTTTAAAAATCGAGTTCTTAACTATTAACATTGCTATATATTTGTTAAGTATTAATAGAGTGATATTTTTATATAATTTGATAGCTTATCCTTTTTCTCTTTTCCACCTTTTTATAATTATCTTTTACAAGCACTTTTTTAGTTTTTAAATTATATTATTGCTGAAATATAATTTTTAATGTTAAATTATTGTTATTATATTTGAATTTTATATGTTGATAAAGCTTAAGTTTAAATTAATTTTTTATTGTTTAGTTATAATAAAATAGTTTGCATAAAAACTTAAATTTACAATTGAAGAAATTAGATTCTAAACATGAACACTTTGTAAAAGTAAATTTTAAAAGTCTTCAAGATTTGAAGAGTAATTTAAAATATTTTTTTCTTCTGATTTATCATATTTTAGATCCCTGTTAAACATGTAAGCATAAATATAATTTAAAAATAGGTTTCCAAGCTAGTGTTAAATTATTTATCACATAGAAATAATAATATTTTAGAATTTAAATAAAAATAGTTGTAAAAATAGAAAAATATTAATATGTTAAAAATGTCATATCATTAATATTTAATAGGGATATAATGATAATGATTATTAAGGATTTAATCAACCCATTTAAAAATTATATTAAAGAATTTAAACTACAAGACTTAATTAAAAATTAAAAAATAATAAGAAGCAACATGTTGACTTAACCAAATTAATATTCATAACGTTATAAATTTATTGATGATAAAACTATCTTACTAGATTTATTTATTTATTAATGCAAAATTTTAATATAAACTGAATTTATTGTGTTACATGGTAAATTGAATTAAAAATAAAATAATAATAATATTTTTAAAATTCAATAAAGAAAATATTATTATAAAAACATAATAAAATAAAATATAAACTTATTTTATGTTGAGAAAACCGGTATATCTCTCTCTATATATAATTATTTTTCAAAAAATTGTAATTACTGACTATTTGGAATAAATACAATTTACCATATTTTAATATAATTTTTAAATATATTTTTATTTTAAAAAAATAATCCAGTAAAGTGATTGAATATTAAATAAATTTTCAAACTTATAAAAAATTATTTTATTAAATTATGTTATATTATTAATTAGGAATTCAAGAAAAAATTAAATATATATTTTTATAATAATATCATTTAAAATTTACAAAATAAAATTAAAGAAAATAAATTACAAATATTATATGATGAAAATATATTACCTATTCAAGAAATATTATGATGTATTTTTAATTATTTATGATGAATATATATATATCTATCACTAGAGTTTTTTTGCATACACAAGGACTTGAACTCGAGACCTTACTTAAGCAATACCGAGCTGTTTGTCACTCGAACCAATATCTATTGGTCCAAATTACAATATTTTTTTATATATAATTGAGATAAATAATATAAATTTCATACTTAATGATAGTAGAAAAAAATTTACAAGGAAATTAAAATTTTTCCACAAATAAAGTCATTTCCAAATTAATTCATTGTCAACATAATATAATGAGAAAATGAATTGTAACTTAATAATCATAGTGTGTCAAAATAGTTAAGAAGATATAGCTGCTAAACTTTTATTTACATGTAATAAATACAATAATTTACAAAATGTTCATCAAAAGAGTGTAAGACTTAGAATAATAATTACATGATCAAAATAACTAAGTCCCAGAGTAGCCATATTCCATATTCAAAATACTGAGGATTCGATACTAATCATTACCATGTCATCGCTCAATCTTTACTAGGTCCTCGGAATCTAAATCCTCATCATCTTCAAGATAGAGATCACTGTAGTCAGTCGTAACCTCAACACTCAGGACTTGCTTAAAAGCAACTTGAGTCGGTCTTCTGAGATGATTATGGTCGTTGTAAGTGCACAAGTAAGTCACAACTGTCAGAATTCTAACCGTACCTCTATAAATATATATTCATAAGGTATGATGAATCCTATTATTTACAAGGAAGTCTAAGGGAATACTATAATACAATTCCATTTTCAAAATATAAATATGGTTGGGTATTTCATCACAGTCTATGGCTAACTTAAAGTAACAAGTCCTCTGATATTCATTAAATACATAATTTATTCTACATTGCACAGAATTGTCTATCAATCTAATTCAATTCTTTCCTGAGGTATCATCATTCTAGTTCCCTAAAAATTTTAGTAAGGATGAACATCTATTTTATCATTTTACAAACCATATTACAGAAAATCATAGTTATGACATAAAAAAAAATCATTTTAACAACTGATTAACAAAACAACATTCATCACATAGCCACAACACATGAATTTGTCATAAATCATTTAACTTCTTTTCTCCAAACATGCACTTCTACTGCACTGTGATCACAGAAATACCATGCTTGCAACATATCTTGAGGTCTTACTCAATTAGGTAAATAGTCGTCGGTTAACCCATACACATGAATACAACGTATACAATAATGAGTCCTTTAGCAAAGGTATAGTTGTGAGTCTAGTTAGAAAACGAGTGTGAGGCCATATGGCGCATTCGCTTTCAGAAAGAGTGTGTACATATACACGAATATTGTTCACTACCGTATGTTTTTTTCCAAATTTTTCATCATCTCCTGACTCTATACCCCTAATGTATCTTTGTAACTATTCACACTAAATCCATTTAGCACTTTATACTCATCCCATACTCTTTTTTGTGTCAAACTCATTACTCAGGTGAAATATCGTGTTTAGTAAAGCGCTTCCAGATTAAGTCCAAAACACATATACTACTAGAATATGGTACTAACACCCAAGATCAGCCAAACATACTTCATTAACCTTTTACCAAAGTCTAAAATCATTCAATCATAAGGATGATACTTGCTCAAAACAATTCTAAACTAACTCCTTATCATATATAGTAAACATATAGTACAATAATCCAAATCAACTAAATATACATCATTATAACTTTTTTCAGTACCTACATATCATTCAATCATGTATTTATATAAAAAATATAAAATACTCTCATGAGTACAAAATATTTATTATGTTTAAAATGACAAAATAGAGTTCTTACCTCAAAATGAAGTTTTGAAAGAAGATTTATGAAGGGTTTTGGTGAAAGAACCAAGCTTTTCCTAAGTATCACAAGAGAGAGCATTTTGAGAAGTAAGAAATAGAGAAAACAAACAAAAATAGGAGAACTAAGCTTCAAGAACTTACTTGAAGTTCATTGGTTGAAGTTTTAACCCCAGATTCGAAGGAAAATTAAAGTTTAAGAAATGTTTTTTTGAGAGAAGAGAGTGAGAGATCAGAGAGAATAGGGGAGAGGTCAAAATTTGAATTATAATTCAAGTTTTCTAGGTTGAAAACTCTTAAATATCAATTTTTTTTTATATTTTCATTTACTGTATTTTAATTTAAAAATATTTTAAGCTTAATTTTTTTAAAACTTCTAATATGAATTAAAATTTTGATAAAAAAAAAGATGAATTGAAATTTTGAGTTAAATTGTAAGTCAATTGTACAAAAGTTTGAAAAGAAATAACATTAATCTAGTATATCTTTAGTAAGCTTCATAGTGTTTGGGATAAGAAAAATTTTCTAAGTTAAAAAATCATCTTGAAGGAAACTATATTTCAACAAGTTTTGAGGGTCAAGAAGGAGTCAAAAGATAAGCCTAAACATAAGAGAATATTGAAAAACCATCCAAGACCTTTAGTTTTATTAAAAGGGACACATTTCGAGCTATTTTAGAAGATTTTTTTGTCATATTATTGGTTTTTCTCTAAACTGCTTGAAAGATAAGAAAATATTCAAAGTCCACAAAACTAAAGGCTTTTTCGAGTAGTTTGAGGGGTTTCCAAGTCACTGACACCCAAAACTGCTCGAAAAACAGGACTAACAAGAAAAATTCTAAGTC